GGAGGCTGAGGCAGACAGATCACCTGAAGTTGGGAGTTCAAGACCAGCCTCGTCAAAATGGTGAAACCCCGTCTCTACTAAAGATACAAAATTAGAAAAAACAACAACAAATGAAGGTGCTGTCTTTCCATGTCCCTTGGCCTCAAGGCCCCATCCTCGCCTCTTCCACCTCCTCTACCTCCAAGGAGCCAAAGCCCCAGCCTCAGTACACGTTTGCCTGTCACTCAGAATCTAACACAAAGCTTTTCCTGAGTCACAACCACATACAGCCTTGCCTCCTCTGAGACGCAGGGCAGATACCATCGCCCCTTTCTGCAAAAGGGGAAACCGAGGCTCCGTAAGTCAATTCCCCAAATATTTATGGAAAGCCTTCACTGCGCTGTGTATACACACTTCCTCTCAAGGGACCAAAAGGGTAGAAATTCAAATTAAAACCTTCATGAGATATTTTATGCTTATCAGAAGGGTCAAAATTTAAAAGTCTAATTGACAGCAAGGGCTGGCAAGCATATGTGGAAATTTAAACTCATTGTGTTTTTTTGACACGGAGTTTTGCTCTTGTTGCCCAGGCTGGAGTTCAGTGATGGGATCTCGGCTCGCCACAACCTCCGCCTCCCAGGTTCAAGCGATTCTCCTGGCTCAACCTCTTGATAGCTGGGATTACAGGCCCACACTACCACCATACCCGGCTAGTTTTGTATTTTTAGTAGAGACAGGGTTTCTCCATGTTGGCCAGGCTGGTCTGGAACTCCTGACCTCAGGTGATCCGCCCGCCTCAGCCTCCCAAAGTGCTGGGATGACAGACGTGAGCCACCGTGCCCAGCCAATTTAAACTCTTACAGACTACTTGGGGGAGTGTAAATTAGTACAATTATTTGGAGAGCAATTTGTTAATAACTAATAAAGCTGAAAATAGGCATGGCCTATTTTCAGTTTAACTAATAAAGCTGAGAATAGGCACAGCCATCTACTGCTTAGCAAATCCACTTCTACATACAAACCGCAGAGCTGTATCGTTCAGTACAGCAGCCACCAGCTACGTGAGGCTGCCAAGCTACCTGAGACAGGGTCAGTTCACACTGAGATGTGCTGGACATGTAAAACACACAGCGGGTTCCAAAGGCTTAGTATGTGAAAGAGAATGTAAACTACCTCGTTAATTTTTAAATACTGATTACACATGTTGAAATAATATTTGGATCTGTGGGAATAAATAAAAGATATTCTCAAAATTAATTTCACCTGCCTATTTTTACTTATAAAAATGCGGGTATTAGGGGCCAGGCGCGGTGGCTCACACCTGTAATCCCAGCACTTTGGGAGGCTGAGGCAGACAGATCACCTGAAGTTGGGAGTTCAAGACCAGCCTGGTCAAAATGGTGAAACCCCGTCTCTACTAAAGATACAAAATTAGCCGGGCGTGGTGGCGGGCGTCTATAGTCCCAGCTACGCCGGAGGTCAAGGCAGGAAAATCACTTGAACACAGCAGGTGGAGGTTGCAATGAGCCCAGATTGCATCGCTGCACTCCAGCCTGGGCGACAAGAGCAAGACTCCGTCTCAAAAAAAAACAAAAAAAAGGTGGGTATTAGAAAATGTGAAATGACGTATGTGGCTCATAAGCTATTTCCATTAGACAGCAGCACTCTGGAACAAATGGCCTGTGTGTGCCCCAGGGGACTCAGGGGTGTTCACCGCCTCACTCTTCCTCCTCGTATAGGAGGGACTGGAAACAAATGCTCACACACGGGGGAAGCCGCACGCACAGCCATGAACGTGGATGCACCAGATTCACACACAGCATTGCTGACAAGCTCCAAAGCGGACATGGGTTGAACTGTGACATAATACACGTGTATACTGATACACTTTTTTTCCTGAGATGGAGCCTCGCTCTGTCACCAGGCTGGAGTGCAGTGGCGCGATCTTGGCTCACTGCAACCTCTGCCTCCTGGGGTTCAAGCAATTCCCTGCCTCAGCCTCCCGAGTAACTGGGACTACAGGCGCCCGCCACCACACCCAGCTAATTTTTGTATTTTTAGTAGAGATGGGGTTTCGTCATATTGGTCAGGCTGGTCTTGAACTCCTGACCTCAGGTAATCCGCCCGCCTTGGGCTCCCAAAGTGCTGGGATTATGGGCGTGAGCCACCACGCCACGCCTGGCCTTACATACATTTTTAAACTACATGCAGCTGGGAGCTGTGGTACACATACCTAAAGCCCTGGCTACTTGGGAGACTGAGGTGGGAGGATCACTTGAGCCCAGGAGTTCAGGTCCAGCCTGGACAACATAGCAAGACTTTTTTTGTCTGTTTTTAAAGTACAGGCCACCCAAAATATAGATATGTAGTAAGCACACAAACTGCAGTCTGGAAGGCTGTCCACCAAATTCACGCCAGTAGCTGCTTCAAGAGGGAGGAGGAAGGGAGGGGAGATTCCACCTTAACGTGTGACGCTGTATTTTCTTCATCAGAAGGTTTTGCTGTGTTATTCTCCGGAGTTTCTGGTTTAAATGTTTTTCAATACAGTAGCAAGGGGGATACAGCTGCTGCCTGGCCTCCTCAGGGGCCTCGCTTCCCACCAAGGTGCTGGGGGAAGTGGGCTGCTATGGACCCCAACCCCGGACCACCTGCTTTCTGCAGGATCCTCATGTTCCCCGAGGACCCAGAGAGGCTGACGTGGGGGTGGGGGCGGAGGTAGGGGTGGGGGCAGGCTGGCCGCAGCATGGGCTGAGCCTGGAACCTCCCAGCACAGAGGCAGAACCCTTTGAGGAAGCTGGTGGGGCAGAGGAGTGGGGGAGCATCTGGAAAAGCCAGAGAGGGGAGACAGAGTGGGGATGCTTGGGGTGACACCAAGGCCAGAGGCATTTAGGTCTCAGCTGCACAAGCGCCAGACTTTAAAAAGGGGGGGACGCGGCTGGACTTTAAAAGGGGGCGGGGCTGGAAGGGAGGGCGTTTATTTCGCTTTCCAGGGAGTACGGAGGCCCGGCCCATCAGTGCCCACGCTACAGGAGATGTGCTAGACAGCGGCTTCCTAAGCCAAAATCAAATCGCCAAGATTCTTCCAGCAAAGGGCCCCTCTTGTCCCCTTTCCCACGAGAAGAAGCAAGCCTGGAGGCCCAGGTTGGCACACCACCCTCCCAGGAGCCAGCTGTGCGGAGGCCTGAGTCCAGGGTTACGGTCATCTCCGGGACTGCCATCGCCACAGTCACCCCAGGCTGTAGGGCCCAAGGCCTGGTTTGGCAGGTACATTAACTGGGAAGTGCAGGTTGCTTGGAAACAGCAGCCTGGCACTGGAGTGATCTCACAAAACAAACAGCAGAGATGCTAATTCCCTTCTCTCAGTAACGAATAATCAAATACCCAGAGACTTCGGCTGAAAATAAACCACCTCCAGATGCCAGGCCTGACCTGGCTCCACCCGGGTCCTCCCAGGCCTGCAGCCCCAGCGGCCTCAGGCATCAGTTCCCAATGCTGGGGAGGGAAGGTGGTGGGTAGTAGATTCATGGCCAGGCCTGTGGAGCTGAGACCAGAACAGGGGACAGCCAGGTCCACGTGACAAAGATAAACTGTGACAGCGTTTCCAGCAACCCTGGGCTTGCTCTCTTCTACTCCCGAGGGATGAGGAGAGGATGGCCCTCAGGCCACTCAGCTCAGGCGAGCAGGCAGTGATGGCAGGTGTTCATCATCCCTGAATGGGAGGAAGCAGGTGGATCTGCTAGAACCAGAGTGTGGCATTCCCTTGAAAGGATACCTTCTGGGGTGCCTCTTACCGATTTAATAATAATAATAATAATCATAATAATGGCACTGATGATAATGACTAGTTACTAAGTACTTATTAATTTATGATGCTCCAGGCCCTGTTCCAAGCACTTTTCCTTTTACTTTATTTTATTATATTTCTTTTTTTGAGACAGAGTCTTGCTCTTGTTGCCCAGGCTGGAGTGGAGTAGCACAATCTCGGCTCACTGTAACCTCTGCCTCCTGAGTTCAAGCAATTCTCCCACCTCAGCCTCCCGAGGCTGGAGGATCACAGGTGTGCGTTATCACGCCTGGCTAATTTTTGTATTTTTAGTAGAGACAGAGTTTCACCATGTTGGCCAGGCTGGTCTTGAACTCCTGACTTCAGGTGATCTGCCCACCTTGGCCACCCAAAATGCTGGGATTATAGGCGTAAGTCCCTGCCCCAAGCCTATTTCTTTTTTTTTTTTTTGAGACGGAGTCTCAGTCTGTCGCCCAGGCTGGAGTGCAGTGGCGCAATCTCAGCTCACTGCAACCTCCGCCTCCCAGGGTCAAGTGATTCTCCCGCCTCAGCCTCCTGAGTAACTGAGACTACAGGCGCCTGCCACCAGGCCCAGCTAATTTTTTTGTATTTTGAGTAGAGACGGGGTTCCACCACGTAGGCCAGGCTGGTCTCGAACTACTGACCTCATGATCCACCCGCCTCGGCCTCCCAAAATGCTGGGATTACAGACGTAAGCCGCCACGCCCAGTCAGGCCTATTCTATTTCTTTGTAGAGCCAGGGTCTTGCTATGTTGCCCAGGCTGGTCTTGAACTCTAAGCCTCAAGTGATCCTCCAGCCTCAGCCTCCCGAAGTGCTAGGATTACAGGTATCAGCCACCACACTCAGCTCCATGCTCTTTTCAGATATTAACTCCTCAGAATCACCCAATGAGGTGATTTTTTACAGATGAGGAAGCTGATGCAGAGCGGTTGGGTAAGTTGCTCAGGTGCAGGTTTAATCTGGCAGAGCTGGGATTCAAGCCTACTTTGTGATCTGGCTCTAGAAGCTGTGCTTGAGAAACAGGGCTCTCAGGACAGAAACCTCGGGGCCTGTGACGTCTCCCTCGATGCCCCTCCGGGTTCTCCCCAGGCCCAGTGGTCAAGGTCACAGTGCATTCACTCATTCACGGAGCGACCACTGGGCTGGTTCCGGGGGTCTAAGAAGAAAATGCAGGCCAGGCGCGGTGGCTCACGCCTGTAATCCCAGCACTTTGGGAGGCTGAGGCGGGTGGATCGCCTGAGGTCAGGAGTTCAAGACCAGCCTGGCCAACGTGGCGAAACCCCGTCTCTATTAAATCTACAAAAATTAGCTGGGCGTGGTGGCAGGTACCTGTAATCCCAAGGACTTGGGAGGCTGAGGCAGGAGAATGGTGTGAACCCAGGAGACGGAGCTTGTAGTGAGCCGAGATCGCACCACTGCACTCCAGCCTGGGCGACACAGCGGGACTCTGACTCAACAGAAGAAGAAAGTCAGCCCGTCTTCCTGGAGCTCGCTGTGGTTCGGGGGAGTCAGGCAGCCACCCGTGCTCACTACGGGGACTGGCACGAGGCCTGCATCTGGGGGCCTGGAAAGCCTTCTCGGAGGAGGTCCCTTCTAAGCTGGGAGCTGACCAGGGGAAGCCAGAGGAGAGGGCGAAGGACATTTCAGGCAGGTGGGGCCTCGAGTACGAAGAGTTAAGAAAGCGCCTGCCCTGGGAACTGAGAACAGAAAGTGCAGAGGCAGGAAGCACAGAGGTGCGGGGAGGAAGCTGGCAAGCCTGGCCAGGGCTGGACGCAGGTCAGCGTGCAAAGGGTCTCTCGAGCCATTCCTCGGAGCCTGGCCTTCATCCGAGGGCCGTGGGGAGCCGCTGCAGGGGCTGTCAGGGTTTTCAGTGACTCTCTCCCCTCTAAGGAGAGGTGGGGGTGGGAGGGGAGTGGGCCTGGAGGCAGGCGCCAGGAGCCACAAGGGAGGACACACAGCTGTCCAGGTGAGGGCCATGGGTGGCCAAGAAAAGGAAAAGGCAGCGGTGAGCAATGGCCAAAAAGTGGACTCCACAGGACAGGTGGGGGGAGGGGGGCAGCAAGACCGGGTCTGAAGCACTCACTGAGATAAAGGCAGGAAGCGGCGCAGAGAACTTCAGACATAAGGAGCTCAGCTGTGAACACACTGGGCTGGAAGCCCTAGGCGTGTCCAAGCAGGAGAATCTTCTCCAGTGTGAGAAAGGCAGAGCCCTGTCCATTCAGCCCAACAGGGCAGGGGAGGAGGAGACGGCCTCCAGCCACTCACACCCAGAGAAGAACCGCGGCCTGGACTTCCAGTCTCGCTCTTGCCTGCTGGGCTGTCAGACATTACGTAGGAGAGCTGGGGAGGGGGCTCCGTGGGTCTGACCTGGGGGTCCTCCAGGGGACACAGCCAGAGATGGGGCAGAGCCGGGGGAGAGGGTGTCACAGAAACACAGGGAACCAGAAGACCCCGTGAGCTTTTCCAACACGAAATCCGCATGTTAACCCACCGCTCCTGCCACTCCCAACCCTGCAGTGCTGGGCAGGGCTGGGCTTTAGTGCTTTCTGCTCTTGGGACCTCAGGAGAGGATCACTGGCTGATGGGTCCAACTGTTTCCTTTTACAGAGGCAACACTGAGATGCAGTGAATCCCTGAGGTCTCAGGGGAGCAGTCCTCGCGCCCCCAACCCGCAGGTGTCCCTCTGTTCACTGAGGGACAGGAGACTAGAAGCCCAGCAAGGAGCCTCCATTCCAGGGCTGGTTCCACGGAGCACCCTCCGGGAGAGAGACGGAGTACCCTCGGAGAGAGAGATGGTGCTCCCACAGAAGCACCCATCCACGCAGCCCGTCTCCACCACCCCTAGAAGCGCCCATCCACCCAGCCCGTCTCCACCAGCCCTAGAAGTATCTATCCACGCAGCCCGTCTCCACCAGCCCTAGAAGTATCTATCCACGCAGCCCGTCTCCACCAGCCCTAGACGTATCTATCCACCCAGCCCGTCTCCACCACCCCTAGAAGTACCCATCCACCCAGCCCGTCTCCACCAGCCCTAGAAATATCTATCCACCCAGCCCGTCTCCACCACCCCTAGAAATATCTATCCACACAGCCCGTCTCCACCAGCCCTAGAAGCGCCCATCCACCCAGCCCGTCTCCACCAGCCCTAGACGTACCTATCCACCCAGCCCGTCTCCACCAGCCCTAGAAGCGCCCATCCACCCAGCCCGTCTCCACCAGCCCTAGAAGTATCTATCCACCCAGCCCGTCTCCACCAGCCCTAGAAGTATCTATCCACGCAGCCCGTCTCCACCAGCCCTAGAAGTACCCATCCACCCAGCCCGTCTCCACCAGCCCTAGAAGCGCCCATCCACCCAGCCCGTCTCCACCAGCCCTAGAAGCGCCCATCCACCCAGCCCGTCTCCACCACCCCTAGAAGCGCCCATCCACCCAGCCCGTCTCCACCAGCCCTAGAAGTACCTATCCACCCGGCCCGTCTCCACCAGCCCTAGACGTATCTATCCACCCAGCCCGTCTCCACCACCCCTAGAAGTACCCATCCACCCAGCCCGTCTCCACCACTATCCACCCAGCCCATCTCCACCAGCCCTAGAAGTACCCATCCACCCAGCCCGTCTCCACCAGCCCTAGAAGTATCTATCCACACAGCCCGTCTCCACCAGCCCTAGAAGCGCCCATCCACCCAGCCCGTCTCCACCAGCCCTAGAAGTACCCATCCACCCAGCCCGTCTCCACCACCCCTAGAAGTACCCATCCACCCAGCCTGTCTCCACCATCCCTAGAAGTACCCATCCACCCACCCGTCTCCACCAGCCCTAGAAGTATCTATCCACCCAGCCCGTCTCCACCATCCCTAGAAATATCTATCCACCCAGCCCGTCTCCACCACCCCTAGAAATATCTATCCACACAGCCCGTCTCCACCAGCCCTAGAAGCGCCCATCCACCCAGCCCGTCTCCACCAGCCCTAGACGTACCTATCCACCCAGCCCGTCTCCACCAGCCCTAGAAGCGCCCATCCACCCAGCCCGTCTCCACCAGCCCTAGAAGTATCTATCCACCCAGCCCGTCTCCACCAGCCCTAGAAGTATCTATCCACCCAGCCCGTCTCCACCACCCCTAGAAGCGCCCATCCACCCAGCCCGTCTCCACCAGCCCTAGACGTATCTATCCACCCAGCCCGTCTCCACCAGCCTTAGAAGTGCCCATCCACCCAGCCCGTCTCCACCAGCCCTGGAAGTATCTATCCATCGAGCCCGTCTCCACCACCCCTAGAAGCGCCCATCCACCCAGCCCGTCTCCACCACCCCTAGAAGTACCAATCCACCCAGCCCGTCTCCACCACCCCTAGAAGTACCAATCCACCCAGCCCGTCTCCACCAGCCCTAGACGTATCTATCCACCCAGCCCGTCTCCACCAGCCCTAGAAGCTCCCAGGGCTGCGCCGGGGAGGCCTAGAGTCAAGGCACCAGCCCTGGGTGCCCCATAACACACAGGCCCAGGCTTTCCTCCGGAACTCGGAGACGACTCAGGCCTTCAAGGAGTCCAAGAGGGCTGCCCCGTCCTCTCCCTCAACACTCTCGGCTCCGCTGAGGCCCCGCGTGAGGACCCTCCATCACTGGGGGACTCACCAGCTTCTGGAAGAGGTGGCCCATGGTGACCTGGCTGTCCCACTGTTGCACCTTGGGGCACAGGTTGTCGTAGAACTCCTTGTGGATCTCGTAGATGTCTTGGATCTTGTAGAAGATGGTCTCGATCTGCTGGATGGTGAGCACGGGCTGGGAGGTGGTGGCAGTGGCCTTCAGGGGTTTCATGGGCTGGGAGAAAGAGAGGAAGAAAGAGCAGAGGTCAGGGTAAATAAACCAGAGTGTCGGCAGGCCCTGGGGCCAATCATTAGTCCTTCCTGCTGCCCAAGTCCTGCCCAGACAAGGCCACCAAAGGCAGGGCACTGAAACGAGCTTTGTATCAAGGAGCCACTGCCACAGGCCCCAACAAGCCACACACTGAACGGCAGGAACCTGGCCCGGCAGCTCTGCCAGGCCCGAGGGGCGGTGCCGGGGCTCACTCCCCTACCACGCACCTGAGCTCAGTAGCGGCCTGTACTGGGTTAACAGGATCCACGTCTTTCTTCCACAATAGCCTGTGCCCCAAGTCATAAGCTCCTTGTCACACTTCAGTGGAAGGGAGGGTTGACTGGGAACTCAAGCCCATAGCTGTTTCCTTACAAGAAACAACGTGGTTCTGGGACTCACAGGGTAGGGACCCGAAGTTACTCAAGACCAGTCTTGGCCTCAATGATATTCCAAGTTCCCGTCACTTGGCATAGGGAGAGGGATGGGGGTTCGCGTGTCTCCCACTGCATCGCACCCCCGGGGCAGACATGCTAAGCGACCGTGGTGGTCCTTCCCATTGCGCATGGCAGGGGTCTCCAGTCTCAGACTCTTTCTCAACGCCTGCCTATCTATACCAAGATGCTCCACGCCCTGCCAGTGTAGACGGTGAGGTGGCAGGCAACAGAGACCAACCCCCAGCACTGGCTGGGAGCTGACGCCATCACCTTCCAGCCCAGCGGCGGGACTGTGGGATAATAGGATGTGCGGGCATTTCCTCAGTGTGGTCCTCTGCATTTTATAAATCATCTATAATGAGTAAATATGAATAATCAGAAAAAAAAAAACAAAGATGCCCAGGCTGTACTGCAAAGGCCATTGCAGGAGACAGGGCCTGATAACCCGCTGTACAGGGAAGGCGTGGCAGGGAAGGGCAGGGCGGCCAGGAGGAGAGCAGCCATGTTGGATTCTGTTGATGTTCTTCACATACCCGAAGGCCACGTGGAAAGAGGCTTAGACTTGGCCGGGTGCGGTGGCTCACACCTGTCATCCCAGCACTTTGGGAGGCCAGGAGTTCGAGACAAGTGAGACTGACCAACACAGTGAAACCCCGTCTCTACTAAAACTACAAAAATTAGCCAGGCGTGGTGATGTGCACCTGTAGTCCCAGCTACTCGGGAGGCTGAGGCAGGATAATTGCTTGAACCTGGGAGGCGGAGGTTGCAATGAGCCAAGATCGTGCCACTGTGCTCCAGCCTGGGCAACAGAGCGAGACTCTGTCTCCAAAAACAAAAAAAGAGGCTTAGACTTGGCCGGGCGTGGTGGCTCCCGCCTGTCATCCCAGTAATTTGGGAGGCCAATGCGGGTGGATCACCTGAGGCCAGGTGTTTGAGACCAACCTGACCAACATGGTGAAACCCAATCTCTACTAAAACAAAAATTAGCCAGGCTTGGTGGCAGCCACCTGAAATCCCAGCTACTCGGGAGGCTGAGGCAGGAGAATCGCTTAAACTCAGGAGGCAGAGGTTGCAGTGAGCCGAGATTGCGCCACTGCACTCCAGCCTGGGCGACAGAGCGAGACTCTGTCTCCAAAAACAAAAAAGAGTCTTAGACTTAGTCTGGGTTGCTCTGCAGACCCAGGAACAGTGGGGAAAAGTTATGGGGTGAGATTTGGGCTCACGAGAGCCGTCCCCCATAGGATTAAGTAGCGAGTTTTCCGACAAGAGAAGTATTCTAGCAGACAATGGGTGACTCCACTGCTGAAAATGCTGCACTGAAGGGAACACCAAAGCCATCGCCAGCTCCCTCTGGAGCCATCACCAGCTCCAGCCAACCACGGCAAGCTCCCGGTCCAGCCTCACTCCAGCCTCACATCTGATGACGTCTCATCTACTCATTCACATCACCTCACTCTGATGGAGGCAGAACTCACATTCGCTGGAAGAATTCTCATCTACTCAGACACCCAGATGGTGCTCTGCCTTCTGGCTCCCTCATCCTCCGAGCTCTAAAAAGCCCAGATACAACAATCCACGCAGGACAGAGCAGGCCCCTCCTTCTGACTGTTGCCATGCTAGAACCAGTGGCCCCTCAGCTTCCGGTCCTTGCTAGGCAAACGCATGGGGTTCAACCTGGTGCAGGCCAGGCAGCGTGGGCTTCAGTCCCAGCTCTGCTGTGGGCACATCACTCAGGGTCCCCGGGCTTCCTGTCACCAGCAGCCTCGTTTGTGAAACTGGGATAATACGGCCATGCACTACCTACTGACATTCCGGTCAGTGCATACATGACCATGGTCCCAGACTGCATTTTTGTTTTGTTTTGTTTTGTTTTGAGACAGAGTCTCACTCTGTCACCCAGGCTGGAGTGCAGTGACGCAATCTCAGCTCACTGCAACCTCCGCCTCCCAAGTTCGAGCAATTATCCCACCTCAGCCTCCCGAGTAGTAGCTGGGATCACAGGCATGCGTTATCATGCCCGGCGATTTTCTGTAGTTTTAGTAGAGACGAGGTTTCACCATATTGGTCAGCCTGGTCTCGAACTCCTGACCTCAAGTGATCCACCTGCCTCAGCCTCTTGAAGTGTTGGGATGACGGGCGTGAGCCACCGCCCCCAGCTGAGACCTTTATAATCCAGTTGGGTGAAACGGACCAATACAGATAAAATGACTATGGACAATGTGACCGACTGTGCACACCAACCATGTGGTTCCAAAGTTGTGCTGGAGCAGCCTGGAGGGCTGCATGGAGGAGGAAGCCATACCAGGGCCTTGGAGAGCTCAGCAGGTGGAGGAGTAGGGGGGTAGGGAGGCATCCCAGACAGGGGAACAGAAGGCACTGGGGGGCAGGAGCAAGGGAAGAGTGTCCCCCCAAGTCCAGGTGGGTGAGCTGAAAGCTTTGGGGACTTCCCACCCTCCATGAGGGACATGGAGTTTCAGGATTGACATAGTCCTAAGAGTTTATCCTTTTCACCTCGACGCAGGACCCCACAGAGGAGCCCACGTCGCCACAAAGTCCCCAAATCCATGAATTCTTGTCCCTGCCTTGGTGCAGTCCCCATTGAGGAGGGAACAGGGAAGCAGGAAGGCCAAGGAGACAGGATTTCTCAGAAGCCGCTGAGGACGCGCTCGTCGCCACCCACGCAAAGACAAGACACAGTGGTTCTGCTTCCTTCTAAACTTCCCACCCTGTCTGCAAAAGGGGAAGAAATGGACGCTCACCCACAGCCAGTCACAAGGACGGGGCCTGTGTTTGGGGCATCAGATGGTTCTCATGACACGATGGGGACCTTGGCTCTTACTTCTGATTTCACTTGGCGGGAGGGGACAGGGCTGGGTGTGTGTCCTTTGCTGGCCAGCACCCTTGAGGCCGTTATTTTTCTCTGGTGAAGTCCCACGTGGGCTCGGGGCAGGAGGGTGGACTGAAAGCCACGGTGACCCACACTGAGCTTGGGCACGGCACAGCCGTTCTGCCAAAGTGCTAGCACACCACTCAGGCACCCCCTCCTCCCCAGTCCTGCTGCAGAGGCAAGGGCAGGCCCCGGCTCTCCATTTCACCATGAGAGTTCTCGGAGAGGACCCCGAGTGACCTCCACCCTGGCTCCCAGCCCAGCTGCTTCTCAGGAAGACGGGCCTGGGCCGGTTCTCACTTGCCAGTGGGACTTCACACAGCCGTTTGTCTGCTGTCCCACAGTGACTGGCCTTTCGAAATAGGGGAAAGAAATGTACCCACTTCCTCCGCCTCCTGCCCCAGAAGGCCTGGCATGCTTGCTGCCACGCCACCCTAGTTACTCGTCACTGGAGCCCAGGGAGGAAGGCGTCATTCACCTGTTTTATAGATAAAGAGGCTGCGATACAGCGTGGCTATGAGCCCCAGCGCACGGCCAGGACAGTCCACCCCAGGAGGGCCAGTCATGGCCAGCAGTGGGAGGGGCTGTGGGGAGTGGCCTCACCCTGTGGCCCCGGCATAGCAAGACGCAGTTCCCAAGCTCAGTTCCCAGCATCAAGGAGATCCAGAATTTCAATGCATTTGGCTTCGTCTTTTTTCCTTCACCCCCTGCCTCGGCCCAGGCTCCCAGGCTTTCCCTGTAATCGGAGCCCACCAGGAAGCAGGAGGGCCCCAGAAGACAACGCCCACCAGCAACCCAGAGGCCAGGACGGAGGCCTCTGTGCGGAGGCTCGTCTGCCCTGTGTGTGCACACGGTTTTAGGGACACACACCCAGCCCTCTGACTATCAGGAAGCGTTCAGCTGAAAGCAAACAGGCCGGGGCAGAGCGGTGGGAATGGGGTCAGGAGTGGGAAAGTGAGCATGGAGGGGATGAATGTTCTTCTCCTTCGGGCTGGCCCCTTTGTGAGGCCGCCCCGAAGAGCAGGTTTAGCTTCCTCCTTGCTGAGGGGTGGGGAGGGTGTGGGGGTTCCCAGCTCAGGGAGGAGAGGGGGGAGGGCGTGATTCTTTCGCTCTGAGGTTTTCTTCTGAGGCTGTGGCTGTGGAAGGTCCCACTCCTCCTTCCTGAGCCCTCCTGCCACAGACCTGGCCTCCCAGCAAGTTCCTCCGTTGCTCCCTCTGGGCCCTGCTCAAGAAAGAGCCAAGCAGGGGCCCAGGAGAAGAGAGCTGGAGAAGCGGGGGGACCTGCCCCGGGCACATCAGAAAGGGGGCCCCTACCCCACAGATTCTGCCTTTGGGGCATGAGCTGTTAGAAAGGCAGGGCAGGGAAGGAAGGGCTCTCGGTCTTGGCCCGGGGAAGAGGCTCGCGGATGGCAGGTGGGATCTAAGGGCGTCGTGTCTGATGGGGACGGGCGCCACTCCCTCCTTCAGGGAAGAGGTGTGTTGTGGCAGGAACCAATAAGCCCTAACCTGTTTCCTCTCCTGGCACTGGAGAAATCAACAGTATCAACGAACACTCAGGCTATGTTCTGAGAGCTTTATGTGCTGGACGCCGTGGCTCACACCTGTAATCTCAGCACTTTGCGAGGCCGAGGCGGGAGGATCACATGAGGTCAGGAGTTCAAGACCAGCCTGACCAACATGGTGAAACCCCATCTCTACTAAAAATACAAAAATTAGTTGGGTGTGGGGGTGGGCGCCTGTAATCCCAGCTACTTAGGAGGCCGAGGCAGGAAATCTCTTGAACCCAAGAGGTGGAGGTTACAGTAAGCCAAGACTGTGCCACTGCACTCCAGCCTGGGCAACAGAGCAAAACTCCGTCTCAAAAATAATAATAATAACTCTGGGTATAAATTCCTTTAATCCTCACAACGACCCCATGAAAAGCAAACTATTCATATACCCTGTTTGCAGATGGAAAAACTGAGGCACGAAGGCTCATTCACCTGCTGAAAGCCTGGAGCCAGTACAGCCAGGCAGCCTGGATCCTTTGTCCGAACTCCTTTCAGATATACATCCTGTCAGTCAGGACAACTATGTTCCTTTTTGGTACAGCAATTCATGGTTTCGAAGACGAGTTTCACGAGTGTCTGACGGTTGTCTCTTTGCCTGTCCTCCTTTCTTCCACTAACATTTGAGTGTCTTAAGTACTCAACACTGTACGAGGTCCTGAAAGGACCACCCGATCTTCTCAACCCCGTGGAAAGAGACAGAAAAACTGGCATCACTCTCATCTTGAGATCCAGAAACGGAGGCTCAGGGAATTTATGTATAGCTCACCCAAAGACAGCAGTTTTCTTTTGTTTTTGTTTTGTTTTGTTTTGTTTTTGAGACAGTCTCGCTCTGTCGCCCAGGCTGGAGTGCAGTGGCGTGATCTCAGCTCACTGCAAGCTCCGCCTCCCAGGTTCCCGCCATTCTCCTGCCTCAGCCTCCCGAGTAGCTGGGACTGCAGGCGCCCGCCACCACGTCTGGCTCATTTTTTGTATTTTTAGTAGAGACGGGGTTTCACCGTGTTAGCCAGGATGGTCTCAATCTCCTGACCTCGTGATCCTCCCGCCTCGGCCTCCCAAAGTGCTGGGATTACAGGCGTGAGCCACCGCGCCTGGCCAAAGCCAGCAGTTTTCACACCCACAACAGGTACAAGACACCATGGGCCCAGCAATTACATATATATTCACAGGCACACAGACAACAAACTGAAAGTTCCCTCACTTATCTTTCCTGTGTATGATGCATGCCAGTATGTTTTCATTGGTTTAAAAATGCTGTCCCAACCCACTGTACTGGTTTCACAACCCACTGTAATGATTTCACAATGCACTGACGGGCTGAGAGGCAGAGTCTGAGAAACGGTGCAATACGCCTGCTATTCATGGCAGGGCCACGTCTTGCCCCAGCTTTGGCCCCAGACCAGGACCCTCAGTTACCTGCCACACTGCCCCTCACTTGGAAAACAGCTCCGTGCATAGAGAGAAACTCCCGGAGAGATGGGACACACTCAGCCTGGCATGTGGCAAAGCAGCTGCACATTCCTTTTTTTCTTTTCTTTTCTTTTTTTTTTTTTTTTGGAGACAGAGTTTCACTCTTGTTGCCCAAACTGGAGTGCAGTGGCATGATCTTGGCTCACTGCAACCTCCGCCTCCCCGGTTTAAGCGATTCTCCTGCCTCAGCCTCCCTGAGTAGCTGGGATTACAGGCACCCACCACCACACCTGACTAATTTTTTGTATTTTTAGTAGAGATGGGGCTTCACCATGTTGGCTGGGTTGGTCTCGAACTCCTGACCTCAGGTGATCCACGCGCCTCAGCCTGCCAAAGTGCTGGGATTAGAGGTGTCAGCGACTGTGCCTGGCCTTTCTTGAGACAGGGTTTCACTCCCGTTGTCCAGTCTGGAGTACAGTGGCACACTTTTAGCTCACTATGACCTTCGCCTCCCGCTTCAAGCGATTCTCATGCCTCAGCCTCCTGAGTAACTGGGATTACAGGTATGCACCACCATGCCTGGCTCTTCTTTTGTATTTCTAGTAGAGACAAGGTTTCACCACACTGGCCAGGCTGGTCTCGAACTCCCGTCCTCAAGAGATCTGTGCACCTCGGGCTCCCAAAGTGCTGGGATTACAGGCATTGAGCCACCACACCCGGCCTGCATCTGCACATTCACACAGTCATTCCTGGGTAATATAAATGTCAAGTCCTCTGGGACACTGACAGCATCTCAGGGTTGACATGTGACAGCACCTCACGTCATGGCAAGTACTTAAATGTGTATCTTAGAATTCTTGTTAAGAATGAGCTTCCACAGATCCACACTTCTGAGTCTCCCTTCTCTGACAATTACCTTATGTCTCAGGCTGCGAAACACCCAGAGAAAGAACCTGACACGCCACGATCACTCGACATAATATCCAGACGCATCTAAGGAGCACTTTCTCCCAAGGCAAAACCACCGCACATCTGTGTAATACTTTTATCTTCCGAAAACATTTCCATATTCCCCTCCCAATCGGATTCTCACAACAATGCCTCCCTCCGGGAGGGAAACTGAGGCATGTTACCCAGGGCTGAGCTTGGCCTGATGCCTCAGAGCTGTGCTGCTTCTCCAAAGAACACAGACAGGCCGGGCGCGGGGGCTCACGCCTGTCATCCCAGCACTTTGGGAGGCTGAGGCAGGCGGATCACCTGAGGTCAGGAGTTTGAGACCAGCCTGGCCAACATGTTGAAATCCCGTCTCTACTAAATACAAAAATTAGTCGGGCGTGGTGGCACGCACCTGCAATTCCAGCCACTAGGGAGGCTTAGGCAGGAGAATCACTTGAACCCAGGAGGCAGAGGTTGCAGTAGGCCAAGATTGCGCCACTGCACTCCAGCCTGGGCGACAAGAGCAAAACTCTGTTTCAAAAACAAACAAACAAACAAACAGCCTGCCACCTCCTATTTCCTGACACTTGGCCTCAGGATGGTGTCAATGGTTCCCTCACCCAGGGAGGTAGAAGGACATGGACCCAAGATGGCAGAGACTTCTTAACTGGATTGACTGGGAGTGACTGTCCGGAGCACAGTGTGGAGGAGGCACTTGGCCGTCGCCCGGGCAGAGCACCGTGATGGGTTAGCAATGCCCTATGCCACGGTGGTGGATGACAGGTGTGTCTGCCACCCCTAACCCGGGTGTGCTTCTTCTCCTGCCTTTTGAGAGCTGGAGCTGAGAGGCATGGGCCCTTTCTGGCAATGACCTGGGCTGCCTGATCCCCAGCTAGACGCAGAGCAGCTGCACTCTGTCCACAGGGAGGGACGGGCACAGGTCCCCTTTCCTCTCCAACTCCAAAAGCAGCTTCAGAGCATGACATCATCCGACACGCGGGGGAACAGAAGGCCCCAGAGCAGGGACTGTACTCACCAGCAATAGGGCTTCCAGCTGGTTAATGTAGATCTCTTCGCTGGCCAAGAACCCCGAGAGAACCAGCTTCCTCATCTCCAGGCCTTTCCCTGCTTCCACCTGCACAAAAGCAAAGCACAGGCAACAGCTCATGAGCAAGGAGGCCAAAATCCTGAGTGGACTGTCTGTTTCCCTACCCTTTTCCCTCTTTTTTTTTGAGACGGAGTCTCGCTCTGTCACCCAGGCTGGAGTGCGCTGGCATGATCTTGGCTCACTGCAACCTCCGCCTCCCGGGTTCAAGCGATTCTCCTGCCTCAGCCTCCTGAGTAGCTGGGACTACAGGCGCCCACGACCATGCCCAGATAATTTTTGTATTTTTAGTAGAGACGGGGTTTCACCATGTTGGCCAGGCTGGTCTCAAACTCCTGATCTCAGGTGATCCACCCGCCTTAGCCTCCCAAAGTGCTGGGATTACAGGCGTGAGCCACCACGCCCAGCCACCCTTGTCCCTTTCCCCTTAAGTGACACTTTCATAGGAGATAAAAGTCAGATACTATGATAAAAAAAAATATACAAAACATGCAGAAATACAAAAGGAAAAACAATCACCCATATTCCTCCTGTAACATCTTGTTTTGCTTCGCTCAATCTATTTTCCACATTTCCCCATTTGATATTCATCGATTCATCCACCTGTCAACCAAGTCAACCTTCTCACGGTGAGCAAGACACAAGGACCTGCCCTAGGTCTGCTGGGCAGTTTAACGTGCGGTGCGGGGACAAGGATGTTCAGGAGGGAAAATCAGAATCATGACTGAGGCAGGGCATGGTCACGAGGCAGGGCACAGCAGGGGCCAGAATCTAAGTCTGGGGGTAGAGAGGGGTCCCAGAGGAAGTGACAGACAAACCAAGAGAAGTGTGGGTAGAGAGAACTGAATGGAAGGGCCCCAGCCTTGAGGCCTCCCAGCTACACTTCTGTCCTTATCCTCTTGTCCCTGGGGTTCCATCCCACATCAGAAGGCCGGCTGTGAGCCCCTCAGCCTTACCCTGCCCCACCCCGCACACTCGCCGCAGCACTCCCTGGTCACCTCACTGTGCCAGGAACAGACCCAAAGTGGCCTTCTCCTCCCTCCAGAACTGCTGCTCCTTAGCGTGGAGGTCACACGCCATTGAGCGTTGGATGTCCACCAACTAGCACAGTGCCTGGCACAGAGAAAGTACCCCCAAAGTTCTCCTCAGTGAAAAAACATACATAGTAATTCTTCTCAGCCAGGACCCCCAAGAGTCATCTCTGGGCCCCTCTTCCTTCTCTCTCCTTTCCCTCTGCCACACTGAGCCCCCAAGCCCTTCCATGCTTGCTGTTCATCTCCCCCAAGCCCTTCCACGCTTCCCAGCTCATCTGTTGCCTCCCGTTCCCTCTGTCCCACCCCTCCCCTCTCCTGTGGTTGAGGCCCCCTGTATCTCACTCTGTCGCCTGGGTTCTCCGAATCGACTTTTCCTCCCTCTCTTCCTCTCTCCTCCTGCCTTTCCCACGTACCGGAGCTGGATTCATCTTCTAAGAGTGCCGCCTTGCCCGAGGCTTGCCAAGGACCGAGTATGAAGACTGCAAAATGAGAGTACTTAGGAATTCCATTGCGCTATGTGTCCATTTATTTATTCATTCAATAAATATTTACTGAATGTCCACCAGGCCCTATAGATACCATGGGAAACAGACAGTGGCCCCTGTTCTCACGTGGCTTAGAATCTAGTGGGAAAGACATTTGAAAAACAAACAAGTAAAGATTCGGCCCTAGACTGGGACATGAGGCCCACCATATCCCTTATGAGACACCTTCAGGGGCCCAGGTGCCCGTCCCTACCCTTCCAGTCCTTCCCACAGCCAGGAGACCACTCGGTCTTCCCACATGCAGGAGAACCAGCTTCCTCATCTTCAAAGGCCTCTAGCTTTCGGTTCTTTCTGTACCTGCTGCCTAAAATGCCATCTTTCCGCAAGGCATCATGGCCACAGAAGGGGAATGAGAGAGTCAGAGACAGGGTGGTGGTGAGGGACGGCTTGGAAGATGCTACACTGGTAGGTTTGAAGACAGAGGATGGGGCCATGAGCTAAGGAATGCAGGGAGCCTTTGGAAGCTGGAAACGGCAACAAAATGAATTCATTCCCCTAGAGCAGGGGCGTCCGATCTTTTGGTTCCCCTGAGCCACACTGGAAGAAGAAGAATTGTCTCGGGCCACACATAAAATACAGTAACACTAACGACCGCTGATGAACTAAAAGAAAATAACAGGTTTTAAGAGTTTACAAATTTGTGTCAGGCCACACTCAAAGCAGTCCTGGGACGCGTGGCCATAGGCTGGACAAGCTTGCCCTAGAGCTTCCAGAAGCAATGCAGCCCTGGAGATCCTTTTCATTTTAATTAATCTATTTATTTATGTATTTATATATTGAGACAAAGTCGCGCTCTGTCGCCCAGGCCGGAGTGCAATGGCATGATCTCGGTTCACTGCAACCTCTGCCTTCCAAGTTCAAGCGATTCTCCTGCCTCAGCCTCCCAAGTAGCTGGGATTACAGGCGCCCACCGTCACACCAACTAATTTTTGTATTTTTAGTAGAAACAGGGTTTCACTATATTGGCCAGGCTGGTCTCAAACTCCTGACCTCAGGTGATCTGCCCGTCTCGGCCTCCCAAAGTGCTGGGATTACAGGCATGGGCCACGGTGTCGGGCACAGATCCTTTTTAGATTTCTGTATAATAGAATAAATTTGTGTTGTTTTAAGCCCTTAAGTTTGTGGCGATTTGTTTCAGCAGCATTAGAAAAGCAATACAGACCCCATGCTTTAGGAAAGGGCAATAGTTACTTACTGGCAGCTTCACAAATATCAGGAACTCTGCTTAGCACTCACCAGAGTCTCAAAAACCTGGCAAGTGTTATCAACTTCCTGAGGCACAGAGAGAGTCGGGACTGTTAGAGGCCTGCAGAGCCTGCAGCACACGAACCCCTGGGGGACAAGATCAGAGCCTGGAACAGCCCCCAGCCCCAGCCCCTCCAGGTCAGACCCTCGGGGGTCTTCCTGCTGCTTCCCAGCCTTGACACATGGGGACTCATCCCCGGTGCTGGGGGCTAGCACCCCTCTGTTCCCGGCCTCAGGATCTGCCTGAGGGTTTAGCAAATGCCCTGTAGAGGAAGTCCCTTGGATACACTATGAGCTTTAACTGTAGAGCTGTTTGGACTCGGATGGGGGGAAGAACGGGATCTGCAGCCCCATCCACAAATAAGCTTCACCCCCTCCCCCAGCATAAGCGTAGACCCCAGAGCCCCGTGATTGCCCATTTCTGCTAGATCCTCCCCTCAAGACTTCCATTCACCGTCCAGTCTTGAAAGGCTGGTTCTGACGGGAAGACAGCTCAGAAGGCCCTCCCGCAAAAGGCAATGAAGAGTCAGCCGCAAGAGCCCCCGCTCCAGGCCCTGTTCACACTGCAGTTTCGGCTGGGATGGGAGCAAAGGCGTTGGAGAGCTCACGGACGGGAAATCAGCCTCTCGGCGCACTTGGCTAATGGGAGACCGGTTGCTCAGTCACCACCAAAGAAAGGCCTTTTCCATTCCCATCTTTTCCAGCTTTCCTCAGTTCAGAGCCATGAGGAAATTCACCATCGTTTCTTCAGTCTTTGTGGGGCGACTGTTGTCTCATCGAAGCCCAGGCTCACCACTCACTCACCCACTAGGAGCCAGGTACCGGGAACACGAAGGTGAAGCAGATCATCTCCCCCCCAGGGAGCACTTCAGAGGTGCCCACGTGCCCAGAATGCTCCAGAGTCAGCTCTCTGAAGAGTTTCAGGTCCCACAGCCTCTGCCACGCTGCCTGCCAGTCTCCAGCACCGGGAGTTTCAGGTCCCACAGCCTCTGCCACGCTGCCTGCCAGTCTCCAGCACCGGGAAGCGGCCTGTCCTCACTTCCTCCCAGCCAGAACTGACGAAATGCAGCCTCGGTGGGTTCGTTTATCCTCAGCATCCTGCACCTGCACAATGTGCTAGGCTGACGGTGTGGCAGCTCAAAGCCGCCAAACCAAAGACGTCAGGTCACTCTGGGAGGGACGGTGTCTAGAGATAAGGTGTGGCCAGCTCAGGCCTGGTCTTCCACAGAGTTTAGAAGCTAAATAAAGCCTCCAAACGTCTGGTTCCAGGACAAGCGAAGACACAATCTCTCCAGGAGCGCCGACCTCCAAGACAACAAGCAGGGCTCGCTGGCTGTGACTCGAGGCTACAGGGCATGCAGCAAGGGTGCAAGGGTCTGAGCCTTCACAGATGGCAGAATTTAGTCCACAGGCCACAGCTGGCTGCCAGGAGTACCCAGCAGGATCTGCTCAGAGTAGATGCCACTGGGCCTGGGGGTGGGGGGTGGCCGTGCCTGGGGCTTATACCGACACCAAGCATCAACCTCAGGACAACTGGCCCATCTCAGTCTCAGGACAGCTGAGGCAGTGCAGAGACATCGAGAGATCCTCTCCTCTCCCAGTGCTAGGCACTGAGGAAGTCTCTTTCAGCTGCTTCCTTGGCAGAATTTAGAACAGAGAAGACAGGGTCAACTGCTGGGGGACAAAGACCAAATTCCAGAGGCTCCTCTCTCCTGAAGGGTGGATTCCCGTATTCTGGGCTCCCTGGTGCTCTCTGAAGTCTTAGGCAGGCGCCATGGGGCACACGCAGTGTTTTGAAATTTCGGTTGTTCATATCCCACCCTTAAAATTTTGCCATACTCACATACCACCACCTGCACTATTCTTTACTCAATACTGTTCTTTACAATAACTTTTTTTTTTTTTTGAGACAGAGTCTCACTCTGTCACCCAGGCTGGAGTACAGTGGCACGATCTCGGCTCACTGCAACCTTCACCTCCCAGGTTCAAGCGATTCTCCTGCTTCAGCCTCCCAAGTAGTTGGGATTACAGGCGTGCACCACTACGCCCAGATAATTTTTGTGTTTTTAGTAGAGACGGGGTTTCACCATGTTGGGCAGGCTGGTCTTGAACTCCTGACCTCGTGATCCGCCCACCTTGGCCTCCCAAAGTGCTGGGATTACAGGCGTGAGCCACCGCGCCCCAGAACTGACTTGTAAAAAGCAGT